ATTTAACCTAAAATTTAATTCGCGGAACCTTTTGGAACCACTTGCACGTTTGTCACTCTTCTTCGAATTCCCAAATATAAATGCACCCCCTTTTCGTGATAACGAATAAGAAGAAGCCCACGAGATCTTGATCTCGTCTCGATCTCCCGGCACCGCTCTTGATCTGTTTCCGGCGAGATCTCGGCTTGGATCCGATCTCGTCCCGTTCAGGTGCCTTTGTTGTCTTGAATAGATCCGGAGAATCATGGCTCCAGTTTCGGCTCTCGCCAAGTACAAGCTCGTCTTCTTGGGAGATCAGTCCGTTGGGAAGACCAGTATCATCACTCGCTTCATGTACGACAAATTCGACAACACCTACCAGGTATTCTAATGTTAAATCACTGCCTTCTTACGTCTGATTTTTTATGCGCTACTCTGTTTCTTTTGGATCGGGTGGAATCTTCCTGAATCCTGACGAATTGGATTCGATTAGCATTTCTTTTGAGTTTGATTGAATCTTACTCGATTCTATGTTGATATAATATCTGCAATGTGATCTTGTCTTTTATTTTTTATGTTTTTAGTTGATCTGGTTCCTGGAGAGGAAAATTTCTTTCTCCAAGTTCTCCAGGGAGATCGTATCTTGCATTTTTGTTCGAGAATTTGGACGTTATTGTTCTGATAATCATGAAGATTGGCTTTGTATCATTGTTAATAGTTTTGTTATGCATTTGACACATATGTAGTGTTTAAACTTTGCCTAGTTAATTCGTGAGTGTGTAATTTTACAGTTTTAGACATGAATTGAGGAATGGGGGGAGAGAAATTAGTTGTGCCCATGCATGGTTGGTGCTTTTAATTACTAATCTCTGATATAGCTCAAACTCAAGAGTAATTGCAGTAAGTTGCTGTCCAGTTTTTAGAGCTTAATGCATAGTAGTTGTTAAGATTAAAGGAGATGGTCATTATTAGGTAGGCTAAAGAAAAGGGTGATGCATAACTACTTTTACTGGAAGGTATTTGTGCAGATTGAAAGGTAATCAATAGACTAACCACTTTTGCTTGTTACTCAGGAGAATACCCCTCAACCCCCAACCCCAAACTATCTGCCACAACTGTTATATTGTCCACATAATTTATGTAATGTTGTTATATATATAGCATAACCTCCTCATTTGCCCCTGGTTCTTTCTTCTGTTTGGTTCCTTTGTTCTGCTTAAGTTAATATGTCTATTAATTTGCTTACCAGGCCACTATTGGTATCGACTTTCTATCAAAAACAATGTACCTTGAAGATCGAACTGTTCGTTTGCAGCTGTGGTAATGATTTTTATTTTTCCTTTTTTATTTTATTTTATTTGATGCCTTAGACTTACCAATAATTACTCATAGTGGACATGTTATGGCACCTCACATTGCTTGAGTTTAGCCTTTGCTATCAAAATGCCCTTTGCATGTCTTTACGTGTGTTGCCAAAGGACTTTTCATGGATGGAATGCATGGTGTAATAGGTTTATATACTTGTTTCTGAAACATTGCTAAGATCAGAACTGCTGCATTTATTATAAGTTCCTGTTTGTATCTTCCCTTACAACAATTAACTAGCTATTCATTGTTGTTTTATCCGTTGAATTAGCATTGTTTAGTGTTTTGAAAAGTTTATCTCAAGATTGGTATCTAGAAATTCTACATGGATAATCTTTATTACAGGGATACCGCAGGGCAGGAAAGGTTCAGGAGTCTAATTCCAAGCTATATCAGGGATTCCTCTGTTGCTGTCATTGTGTATGATGTAGCAAGTATGTATACATTTTTAATCTTTTCTGTGCTTTGAGAACTTTGTTTCTGATATATCCATTTGTTTAACTTGTTACATTTTTCATGCAATTGTCTTAGCAATAATCCCTTTTATAAGCTTGTTGCTTGTTCACATATTTTGTAAATGTGTTGAAACATTCTTCTAATGATTAAATATGTTGCCTGCTGCTTGCTTTTTGGTGTTTTAGGCAGGCAGTCATTCCTGAATACTGCCAAGTGGATTGAGGAAGTGCGGACTGAGCGGGGTAGTGATGTTATCATTGTGCTTGTTGGGAACAAAACAGATCTTGTGGACAAAAGGTAAAAGTTTATTATCACGGTAGGAGTTTACTATGAAGATGGTAGCTGCGTACAGGTTGCTTTCTGCATCTTTTGAGTTTCTTCTAAAGTTTCGGCTGCTATAAAGTTCCTTGGTAGTTGGTTATATACATCCATTTGTTTGCTCACTACTTGGGCTTGGGTATTGTTGTTGGTTTTACAGGCAAGTATCAATAGAGGAAGGAGAAGCCAAGGCTCGTGAACTTAATGTTATGTTCATTGAAACTAGTGCCAAGGCTGGCTTCAATATAAAGGTAATCCACCAGGAATTTCACTGTGATTCGATTTTTGCCCTGCATTCTACTGTTTTATTGTTACTTGGCGTATTAAGTTGTTCAATGGATCTCTTTTCAGCCTCTCTTTCGGAAGATTGCAGCTGCCCTACCGGGGATGGAGACACTCTCCTCAACAAAGCAAGAAGACATGGTTGATGTCAACCTTAAGTCTTCCAACACAAATGCATCTCAGTCACAGCAACAATCAGGAGGGTGTGCTTGCTAATATGCACAGTCAATCGAATCGCTTCATTTCCAACATTTCCCTTTGATCCTCTCGGATCCTACATATTGTCTGTAAAAATCTCGCCCCCTTTTTGTAGCGTTGGGTTTCTGGTTGTTTGTTTGAGCACAAAACTCGGAGAGAGGATACTTGTTTAGTAGTTAGGCTTAGTCCTAACCGTGATATCTTGTGGGATCAACGATGATTCCAGCTTTACTGTTTAGGCATATATATTTTTGTTTAATTTCATTTCTTTAATAGGTTCTGCACAATGCATTCAGTTTTATTATTTCTTCTTCTTCTTTTTTTTAAACATAAATAAACCAGTGTTCATGTGAAAAGTTTGCTATCCGGTCCTTTCAGCCATATCATTTTACAGTCGTTTTTCTTGTTTATGAATGGTCCTCATTATCTGCCTCTCCGGCAACCTTTTTGTGCTTTTTTCCGTGTGCCTTTTCATTATGAATACGTTTTTTTTTTTTTTGTTGAAATGAAATGCCTTTTCGTTATACTTGATTCTGGGTATGGTCATGCACCCTTAAATTTTTAGGGCACTGGTAAATTTTTATAATTTATTTATTGTTATATAATTAATTTTT